AAGTGTATTAATACAAAAGCAAAAAAATGTATTAAATAGTAATATCTTAGTTATATATATAAATAATAATATAATAGAATATAATCATGTATCTATATCTATATTTATATATATTAGCAAAAATACAGATATTATATATATAGCTATTACTAGAAACCTTATTTAGATCAAAGAAAGTACTAAAAATGGAATATTCGATTAATTTAATAAAAATTATAAAAATATATTTATTACAAATAACTTATTTTATAAATCTTTGATTATAAATATGGTTTAATTTAATAAATAAATAATTAGGATATATAGCTTAGAATTACCAAAATATTCTATATATCAATCCTCAAGTTAACAATGCGATTTTTGATACTTTCAACAATAATATTCTTGATAACAATATTTTTCAACAACAATGTTCCCGATAATAACATATTCGATAACAATATATCCAATGACAATATACCCGATAATAATACATCTAATAATGATATATCCAATGATAATAATATACTCGATGAGGAGAAGTTCGAGTTAATTAAATCTGGTTTATATACTATAATAGGGAAATAGGACAATATAAAAGATTATATAGATTCAGTATTTAATAAGATAATATCTTCTTCAACTTTAGTTATATTACAAAGTTTATAATTACAACCTAGAGACAAATAGATATAGCAAAAAAAGCTTAGCCAAATTGATTAGGAAATTCGAGAAACTATTTGGGTTTGATCTTTTTTTTTTTATAAATAATAATATATTGTAAGGAAACCAGTCAATAGTATTAGAGTCATGTGATAATCTAGAGAGGGTACTTATACCCCCTTTTCCAGTAGTTTAGATCAATCGTCATGTTTTACCTCTTCAAAGTTATATCTACCCTCAGTGTTTAGACGAATAGTTACTTTATTCCCCTTTTGACCATGATTATCTTTCAGTGACATTACAATTAAATAATTGTTGTACAATATATGGTTATGCCAAAGGCTTTCCTATGATTTCATACACCCAAACACAATATTCCAAAGAAAAATTTCTGGTCGCCAGAAGTTGAAATTTGGTCTGAATTCAAGCTCTACGGAGTCACAACAATACACACAACACATACCACTCTACACGAGACAAAATGGCGTCTCACACAGTGCCACCCGAGGTTGTTGACCTGGAAAACGCGGATTTCACCAAAACGCGGGACCCAGAAACGCCATCCAATTTACAAAATCGCTCTAAAAGAAGGCAGTGTACCTTTACAAATGAGGTACCACTAGTCCTTAAACTGGGAAACAAAGCGAACAACAACAACACCAGCCCAGCGATGGAAGCCTTCAAAGCCAAACTCGCTGAGCATGAACACGCTGAAAGGATTCAGCGAAAGGTCATGACTGGCCTGGTAGAGACAATTGACAGATACATCAACTTCTTCGCCGCGGGGGACGAAAGAACGGCTGCCAGGAAACTGAGCACTAGAGTCGTTGAGATCCTCACACTCTCTATCAACGATGGATCTGACCGAGCGTCGACCGCATTGTATACACTACCGGCGACGAGAAGCGCAGCTTCTCTGAAAACACAAACCACCACCAAAACCTACGTGGAGATCCTCAAGACCCCCAAAACAAGTCAGAACGGGGCGGGCCGAGAGGACCCACCCACACCCCAAGAGGCCCCACCAAAGGCCCCACACGACAACACGCGCGCCAAACAACGGGCGATACGAACCGCCCGGAGCACAGACCACAGGCTACTAATAGCCATCAGCCCTGCAGCTCGGATCAGCAGGCCAGCCCCGTATACGCTAAGAAGCGCTCTGATTGGGGCAATTACGGGCTTGACACTAGCAGATGTCCCCACTATATCGGCTACTAAGACAGGGTAGGCTATTACGCCAAAAAACCTGGCTACCCAAACACTACTCCTTACACAAGAGAACAAGAAGATCATTCTTAGAATCAGCCAAGGCACGCAAGTGCACCAATCGGTAACTTGGTTCAACTACGCAGTCCCTGGGGTCCCAGTATCGATCTGCACGATAGCAGGACTCCCAGCCGATACAGCGAATCACATGGAAGCGGAGGTTCAAGCACAGACAGGCTAAATCCCAGTAAGCTGCAAACCCTTACACCATGAGGCTAATTCTTACAACGGTACAATCACGTGGGTAATGTCCTTCCTAGAACCAGTCCGCGGGTTCAGGTTCTTTAACGCTAGCGAACTAGCACGAGAGATCAAGGCAAAACCTACGATAACCCGACACGACACCGGATGCCAGGGCTGGTGCAACCCAGCAAGATACACCAGGCTCACCCATTGCGCAAACTGCGGGGCACGAAAAGATGCACACAAGAGTCCGCAAGGATCCAATTGCACAGCAAAGACACGATGTACTAATTGCTTTGGACCTTTCGCGGCAGGACACCAGAACTGCCCAGCAGTACCTAAGATAGTGGATAGCAAGGCCACAGTGTCTACCAAGCCACAACTTAAGGCTATACGAAAACCAGCTCTAGCCCTGGAAGCAGCAATACTTGCCAACCAGAAGCCCAAGGACAACCCCAAGAAGGGGTCTGCACCAGATATACCCATTTCTATACCTACTTCCACATCAGTATCCAAATGCCGGGGAGGGCAGATCACTATCTATAAAAACCTCGGAGATAGTGTGATAAAAACATAGCTTTATAGAAGCACAGCAGCAACAAGCTGAATGAGACGAAAACCCTCGCTGAAATCAAGACTCAACGAGGAGGCCCTAGCTGGTAGCCAGCAGGACACTGAAATGGGGGAGGACCCCCAACCCAACGCACATAAGTAGACACTCAACGTATCAGGATAACGTGCGTAGTCATCAACAGCCCAGGATACGGGACCTAACAGTCTGCTGGGCAAACATGGGCAGAATACCAGAGATCTACGACATTATATTACAAATGGCATTTGAGGACAAAACAGATGTCTTGTGCGTACAGGAACCATCCACGTTCCCACTCACAAAAACCAAAACACACCCCGGATGGACCCTATATGCGCCAATAGACTCATGGACAGGAACATCCCCCGAACAAAGGGAAGCAGAAAGACCCCGAGTACTGACGTACATCAGGAAAGGAGCGAAATTGCGAACCCAACAGAGACAGCCGATCAAAAGCTGCGATATACTCTGGATAGACGTGAATAGGCATCCTATACTGAACGTGTACAGACAACCACGAACAGAACAGGTGCTAACATACATCATTGAACTACAACCACCCCCAGAATGCCTCATTGGAGGCGACTTCAACGCCATACATGAAACATAGCAACCTGGATCGGAAAACCAACGCGGAGGAAACGAATTAGCAGCATGGGCAGACCTGGCTGAACTAGAATTCATTGGAGAAAGAGGAGCACCTACCTACACAGGAGGAAATATGCTTGACCTCACATTCTCCAACATACCATTCGCAGAAACCAGGGTCTGACACGACCTACACAGTGGCTCGGATCATCACACCCTGGTAACAACAATACCTGGCAGAGGTATCAAACCTCTGGACCAACATAACATCTGTGTCCCGGAAACGGAACTACTGCGACTAGTGGGGCTAGTAGCAAACGGAGTGGTATACCTGCCCACAAATGACACCCTCAACACTCCAGAAAGGATAGACGATTTCGCTGAACAACTCACGCAAATCATCAAGCAAGCAATGACTGCGGTAGGAACCACAGACAAAGGAAAAGGCAAGGCAGCACCCTGGTGGATAGCAGAATGCAAAAGGGCCTACACTGAGCACCTGAGCAGACAAGCTGCACCAGGGAGCCCCCCCACCACAGCAACGAAAGACTTCAAAACGACGGTCAGAGCAGCCAAACGCGACTACTGGAGACACATCATAGACGACATCTCCAGTGACAAAGACCTGTACAAGATAGTCAGCTGGCACAAGCTAGCCCCGAACCTTAAAAGCCCCCCAATCACCTCAAACGGAGTGGTGATAGAAGACTCGATGGAAAAAGCCGAAGCATTCAGGACTGAAATCCTGGACCGCTTTAGTGCGGAAGACGACCTGGAGCACAACCCACTGGGAAACCAATGAGAAGGAAACGGGCACTTACCCTGGAACTCCTGGCTCACATTGGAGGAAGTCGAAGCAAGCATCATTGGAGTATCCAGCATGTCCCCAGGAACTGACCAAGTCACGGTCAGGATCCTCAAGGCCTGCTGGGACTACCTCAAGGACCCGCTAAGATGGCTCTACCAGAAATGCCTCGAACACAGCTACTTCCCAAAGACCTGGAAGCTAGCTGAGGTGGCTATGCTACCCAAGATCGGGAAAAAGGACATGACATCCGCAAGGTTATGGAGACCCATCACCCTGCTCTCCTGTATAGGAAAAGGCCTGGAAAGAATAGTCGCCAAACGCCTGGGCTGGACAGCCCTAAGGTATGGCATCATCAGTCCCCAACATGGCGAAGCCCTGCCCAAGCGGTCCGCGATGGACCTGGTAGTATCCTTCATATACGATGTGGAGGTGGTACTAGGGACCGGCAAGAAAGTAACCATAGTCATTATGGATATGTAAGGCGTCTTCGACACTCTGCTCAAAAGACGGCTCCTTGATAGGATGACAAAACAAGGCTGGCCCAAGGATCTCCTCCTACTAGTTGACTCCTTCCTGACGGAAAGGAAAGTCAGAGTATGGCTGGAGCAAGCTACAACCAGGGAACACACGGTAGCCTGTGGAACCCCCCAAGGCTCCCCCTTATCGATTGATTGATTG